TAACTCCCATCCTCATTAGAACTCGACCTTATGTGTGTGTGTGTGTGTATGGGGACTAATCAAATGAGAACTATTTTGTTTGTGGTAACTGTGAGATCCAATATTAACCACAAATCAAAGGTTAAATTAGGAAATTAATAATTTTGATAATTTTACCTTAAAATATTAATTAAGGGTATTTTAAGGATTTTATTTATGAAATCATAATAAATCATAATAAATATCTCATCATAATAAATGTATCGTGGGTATCACAGTGAGGATCGTTTGTATGTATTTTTTAACAGTGGCGATGTTTTTCATGTATGATTTGTATATCTTGTGTTCACATGGTGTCCACCAGAATAAGATCCGTTAGAGAGAGGAGAGATTAAAATTTCTAAAATACCAAAAATGTTCTTCAATTAAAATTTTAAGTCAAAATTACCAAAGTTAAGATCTCTTATTTGTGGTTGAGATAAGATCTCACATTTATCACAAATTACTAAGTATATATATATATACACACACACACACACACTTCTGACTCAATTATTTAAATACACACGGAATAAGTGGATATTGCAGGATTAGCTCAACTAACAATAAGGTTTAAGTATTTAAAGGATTTTTCTAAAACCATTGAATTAATCAAGACACCCACAAGCTGCCCCAAATACCCATGATTAAAAGAATACCTCCAAAATTGTTTAGAAACTAATCTTTTGTTTTACGAAAATTAATAAAAAAATAATTAGATAACATAATCTTTAAAGTAATGATTATGGGTTCAAAAACTAATATTAAATAAATTAATCTTTATTGTAATATGAAAAATGACAAAAAAATCCACATAGGATACATTGTCCGAGGCTATAAACAAATCCTCGTTACCATGTTCAACCCACCACAAACCACCAACCACTCCCCCCGTCCCACGTTGGACAAATGTGGGTCGCCACCCAAAACCACATAATATCTCAATTTAGAAAGTTGCAAACACACACACCGTTATGTGTATAACGTACTTCTTCAAGGATTATTGTATGGATTTCCACATCTGAAATGCACATCCATTATCGTCATTCCGTTTTTTTTTTCTTTTTTTGATCGTTACTGGTTTATATGCGCTTACTGTCGTTTTGCTGATCTTAACAACTGTTTTCTTTTTTACCTTACGAGCGAAAGAAGACGATGAATAGTTGGTCTGTTGAATAAGATAAGTGAGGCTTTCTTGATTAAAGGATTTGCATGTGACGGAGAGAGATGAATGTCGATGATGCATGGTCACAAAAACAATAGCCTTTTTGGTGCACATGTCTACTGATAGGGTTTCTTGATATGATGTTAAGTTTATTAGATCAAACATGTCGTCTTATTTATAATTGTTATAATGTTAATATAGAGAGAGTTTCATTTGAGAAGTAAATAAGTGATTCTAGCCTTTCATCTGGTCAACGTTTGCGGCTTTACTTGTGAAGCACTAGATAATTCCTCGCATAGGTATACGGAAAATAGAGAAGTAGATTAATAAATTTTACAAACAGGCGGCAAAAGAGTTCACGTGTGAACCTGTATAATTAACATATGAATTATATGTTCATATGTGACCTGTTAATTAGTTCATATGTGAATCATACGAGTTTATATGTGAATCAATTAATTATTTCATATGTGAATCAATTTTAGTTCATATGTGAATCAATTATAATAGTTTATATGTGAATTACATAAGTTCATATATGGGCAAATAGTTCATATGTGAATCACACGGATTCATATATAAACGTTTATTGTCTATTTTTAAAAGTTACAAAACTATCTCATCTATTATTCGTATAACCATAAATTTTGACCAGTCAAAGCCACAATTCTTTACAAGTCAAATTCGATCTTGATCGTATTAAGGGTTATGATCACTTCTTTACTTTCTTAAATATTTACCATATATATATACACACCCACATAGTAAGTTCTATAATGAAGTTAGATAACCTTATAATATGACATAAAAAGGAATTGTTTATATTGGTCTATGACACTTTTAAAGAGTGTCTTGTCTACAAAAGGTTGATAAGAAGTATTATATAGAAAGATTAACATGATGCTTTATTTTTTTATTTTTCTGAAATTAGCTGACCAACTTTATCAATAAAACTTGTTAGGTCGTTTAACTTTGTTATAACAATTTATTGCAATACCTTTAGATAGAACGCATAGTTATTGGTTATATAAACTTAAAACTGTCATCAAGTACTTTATAGGATGCCAAAAGACAACTTGTGTCCAAAAAAGATCAATTTTGTTGTAGTGGGTATGCAAGCTTATAGCTTTCACCTAGACAAAAGAATGAGTATTTGACCGACTAAATATGGTATATATTATTATGGAGATGATTGAGTGATCTTGGAGGGATTTACGGAGGTATCCTCAATAAAGGCTTTTTCATGTGACGAAGGTGTCATTTCCGTATTACTTAAAATAAGCAAAAAGAATGAGCATCTATCGAGAAACGTTACTTTATAGATTGATAGGACGTTATTGTTTTTAGCAATAAGTAGATAGCGATCATCAATATGTAAGGTTATGATGCATGTATTTTCACTTTGTATATCGTAATATCGATATAATCCGAATTTTTGTATTTTACATTTTACCATAATAAATTATATCTGGTTTCAGAAAAATCTATTCAATGTTATTACTTATTAGGGTTCAAAAGATTGAATTCTTGTAGCAGTATTATCATACTTATGGTCCTCCTAAAACCTCTGGACAAAACTTTATATTAGGAGAAAACTAATTGTTATTTTGTTACGAGTAAGAGAACAAGAAGATCTTAACCGTAAAGTGTCAGTACAATAAAAATATACGCTTTAGTTAATAATTTATATTGGTCGTATTATATTTTATACTTTAACGGGTAAGTAACAGCAAAATCATTTCAGTACGAGCATATGAATTTCAGTTCTGCATACCAAAAAAAACACAGATACCCTTACGATTTTGTAATCACTACAGTTATATATCATTGTTTTTCTTATTTTTAATCAAATTACATCACATCAACCAAATTAATATTCAATTTGTTAAATGGTTATTTTTTACATATTTTTTTATCCCAAATTTACTTGTGGTTTTAATTTGAATAAGTTTAAAATATAATTAAATAATTAATATATAATAATATAATTATAATTACCTTTTTGATAACTTTAGATTATATTATTAAAAAACCTATAAAAGGTTCAATGAGAAAAATTTCTTTTCAAAGGAATCCTTGCGACTTATCCATGGTGTCTCTCTCACAGATCGATCTTGTTGTGTGTGATGACTCAATTTTTCTCTAAAATAACTTGGCACCCCACACACATATATATATACATATATATATATATATATATATATATATATATATATATATATATATATATCTTTCTCATCATTGCCAACTTTCTATAAATACCATGTATATCCATGCAATCTTTACAGTCTCTAAACGAGAAAGAACTAAAAACAAAGTAAAACCCTCATGGCAAAAACAATGGCACCGAAAGGGTTACTACTCGTCTTCATCGTCTTCTTTGTCTTTTGCGTCAACTTCGATGCCACTCAAGCCATGCAAAATGGCGATCCAAGCCAACTCCTGTTACGTAAGTTAGGGTTTAAAGTGTCTGAACTCGAATACTATAAAAGAAGGTCACTTAATGCGAACCTTGGAAGGGTTGCGCCAGGAGGCCCGGATGGTCAGCACCATTACGCTCGGTCGCCATCTAGCCACTAGCTTTGTTATGATCGCATGGTGGCTCGGTTGTTCTCGTGGTTTGAAGTTGATGAATTTGAATAACAAGTTAATGTTTCTTGCAAGATCTGTTTTCCTGTGTTTGTGTGATTTGGTTTGGTTCGGTTTTTTTACATGCTTGCCTCTATTTGAAAGAGAGCAAGTTCACGTTTGTGTCGCACTTTGTTGCAAATTTTTTGATGTTATATAAGATACAATATTGTATGTCATCGAGCATTTAACTTGTTTGAAATCGTCATATGGATAATTCTGTTACTGTCTCCCTCGAGCAACATTAAAGTTATATGTATTTTTGGAATAAAACGTCGTGATACCACTAAATCTTAAGCCTTATCAAACTGGGATAGAAGGGGTTGTTTACCTAAGCAGATTGAGTAAGCGCTAACTGAGTAAGAGCACGATCCGAGTCAACACTAACTACAGACCGCGTAAGAGTCATTTGTTAGCTTATCAATTCAACATCATTGACCGATAACAGAGGAGTGGTAAACAACATTTGTCTAGGTAAGTGACTCTTACCTTGTAAAAGGTGGTCAGCAAGTAGTAAAGATCCCATAAACCAGTAAACTTGATATGTTGCATCGAAAAAGTCTAAACTAGTTGAAATTAATGAGGTATCTTAATTGGAGTCTGATTTTTCTTGAGAATCACGAGATTCGTGTTGATAGTGATGTTTGAAATGGTATACCCGTCTGTCTCGGACTCTCGTATTTTAGTTGGTAATGTAGAGTCATTTTCATTTTTAGCAGATCTATTACAAGATTGTTCAAATCATTATCATTCTTTGTACTTAAGAATTCAGTTGTTTCCATCTGAAATGGGAATATTACGTTTACAATTTACACAGACAAAACTACGAAAAACAAATGAGAATACACTTTTGATTTTACGGTCTAAACCGACGAAACCAAAACATATTTATAATGTCTAGGTTTGTTGATTCACAAATTGGGAAGGGCGTGTTTAGACAACATTTCATTCAAAAGGGTTAAATTTGACAATCTATCAAAGCTGCGGGAGTTATGCAGTAAGATTTGGGTGGTACTTCAAAATGGGGCGGAGCAGCAGATCCGACCCATAGCGAAATAACACGCGCCACCATTGCGCGTGGGTAACTTCCTTGGCCATTACACACAATGACGGTCAGACATCATATTCTCGCAAGATCATCCGTTCGTTTATCCAGTCCACGTCATCTTCACAAAACTCAGCCCTCCGATCCGCACTACTCCGTCGGGCCACACACGGCCCTTCACTCCATTATCGGTGGCGGTATGATCTTCCAGGATTTTGTCTATGCTCGAAAGTAAGCCAGAGTGAGAGAGACCGAGGGAAGAGAGAGAGAAAGATATAAGCGATGAATCCAATGAGTGAAAAAGGATTCGATCTACGTGAAAAAGGTATGTTTTCGGAACCCTAGTGTGTTACTATCAGACTAAGTTATGCTTTGATTGTGTAGTAAAACTGAAGCTGTGTGAATATTTGGTTGTATATCTATTAATCAGTATGGAAATCTAGTAATTTGTACAAGTTTGAACAATCGAAGCAGATTGAGTTAGGGTTTTTAGATTTCATGTATGGATTCGGATAAAGTTTATAGTAGGAAGTCTTTTAAAGGGTTAAACAGCAACAAAAAGAATTTAACACAATCTCATAGTCAAAACCTAGCTTCTGAAGACGGAAACCTGAACCAGGTGGTACTTATGGGTTCTCGGGTTCCTCCTTCAGGGAATGGAGGGGGTAGGTTTGGGTTCCGAAAGCAAGAGAGTCGAGTTACTATTCAGCTGACATCGAGGTCGAAGCAGGAGATGAGGGAAATTAAGAGGAAGCTTGTGAGTGAGCTTGAGTTGGTTAGGAGTTTGGTGAAGAAGATTGAGGAAGTGGGATCGAGGCCTTTACACCAGTTGAGTATCTCGGTTTTGGAGAATAGTCAGGGTACCAGTGAGCATGTGGATAAAGAGAAAAGAACTCCGAAAGCAAACCAATTCTACAGGAAGTCGGATTTTCTTCTTGCCAAGGATAGGATTCCTTCTGCTGAGAGCCACAAGAAGTCAAAGTCCGGTGGCAAGAAGCAAGGAGGGGTTGAGGCTAAGTTTTCCAACAAATTGTTTAAGAGCTGTAGTGCTTTGCTTGAGAAATTAATGAAGCACAAACATGGCTGGGTGTTTAATAAACCTGTTGATCCTCTTGCCCTTGGTTTGCATGACTACTTCGACATCATTAAGCATCCAATGGATTTGGGTACTGTGAAATCTCGTTTGGATAAGAATTGGTATAATTCTCCAATGGAGTTTGCTGAGGATGTAAGACTCACATTTCAGAACGCTATGACATATAACCCAAAAGGGCAAGATGTTCACGCCATGGCAGAGCTTCTGTTAAAGTTATTTGAAGAAAAGTGGAAGCTTATAGAAGCAGATTATATGCGGGAGTCTAGGCTTGCAGTAAATAATGAAGGTTTGCCAACTCCAACATCAAAGCAGGCACCTCCCTCGTTATTGCCAGCTCCAGAAAAGATGCCAGTATCCAATAGGTCAGAATCGTCTGCTCCTACCATTGATCCTAAAGCACAGCCAACAAATGTTTCTAACATGGGTAAAACTTCTTTCTCAAAGAAACCAAAGGCTAAAGATCTCAATAAAAGGGAGATGACATATGATGAGAAGCAGAAACTTAGCATGAATCTGCAGAATTTACCTTCCGAAAAGTTGGATAATGTTGTCCAGATCATCAAGAAAAGGAACCCATCATTGTCCCAAAAGGATGATGAAATAGAGGTGGATATTGATACTTTTGATACTGAAACCCTGTGGGAGCTTGATCGGTTTGTCACCAACTACAAGAAAGGCTTAAGCAAGAACAAGAGGAAAGCTGAATTTCCTAATCAAGAAAGAATTGAAGTTGAGCCAGATGTACAAGACAAGGTGAGTTTATGACCCATCTTTTTTTCATTTTCAAAGCTTTCTGTGATAATTCCCTTGAATTTAGGATGGCATAATGCATGCTTTTTCTTCCTAATTTCAGAACCTAGCTCCAGTCGTGGTTGATGCCCCTAAAGAAGCTAAAACAGGTGAGGAAGTACTGAAGTAGAACATTCACAAATTGTTTAGTTCATATTTGATTAGAAATGAACCTCTTATGGAATTAATACTCCGTAAGCAGATGACAGAAACACTTCCTCTACTTCCCCCATTCAAATGGAGAAGCAGGTCGAGGAGCAAGTTGCTGCAGGAGACAAGTCAAGTAGCTCTAGCAGCTCTAGTAGCATATCTGGATCTTCTTCTAGTGGTATTAGCACAAGATTTAGTTATTCTGGTTATTCTTCAAATTAGTTGTAGGCACTTGATGTGGTTTACTTGAAGTCAAGCTGCTTCATGATTAATCTCATTGTTCTAAATTAATCACAGATTCTGATAGCGACAGCTCATCTGGAGCAGGATCTGAGGCAGGTCATTCTTCAAAGGCATGATTGTAACTGCCTTGACTATGGCAACAAAAGGTATATCCTACATAAGTAATTTTCCTTATTGGAAGTCTTGTGACTTTTAGAATGGGTTCAGTACTTTCCGTGTTACCTTCTGTCTCTGTTTCTATCCTTCTCTTAGCCGATGATTTTAAAGCGTAAAATAGTTTGTGGTATTCTTGAATTGCCTTATTGACCTTCTATAGATTCATATATAGCATCATAAAAAAGTGGTTTGTGTCTAATGATCCATGTGATTCTTATATTATGCTAATTTTCTGTGCATTCCAGTTTGTGTAGTACACAGTCTGATCGCTGTCTGTAATTGTTGGTGTCACAGCATTAGAATATGTTTCCGTAGTCATCTTTTCATTCTTCTGCTTATTTTTCACTTGTATTTCATATATTGGGCATTATTTGTATCTTTTGATTGTATTCTTTTTTTTCCCCATACTGTAGATGATTGTTTAGTAGTTGGCAGAATATGATGTATGATGGGCATGTTCTGTGTAACAACTAAACATGCATGGACACTGTAATGCTGTATTAGATTTAGACCAAGGTCGTCTTAGTTTTTAAAAAGTAGTCTGCATGTGTCCAATTATCTTTATCATGTATAAATTTTTTGCTTATGCCCAAGAAAGCATCTCTTTTCCTTTTCTTTGTTATTAATTTACATCTCATGGTTCCTAATACCCTGTCCACCTATATATGCATAACTGTCAATATAACTATTAAAAAATTTCCAGTTATGCCGGGTACAGGATTTCATTATTTCATTAATTTGCAGACGCCCTGTTTGAAATTGAAGGCCTTGTTTTAGTTTCTTGCGGTGGCTTTAGTACTACATCTCAGGGCAATAACTTTTGGTATTTAGATTTTTGTAATTATTACATGCCGTAATTGAAAGATTACCCATCGCTGAAGTCTTTGACTCATTTAGATGCGCATCTAGATTGTGCTTATGATTACAATATTGGTGTCTTTGTCTATTAATGATCTGTATATCAACAAGCAGCCTCTATTAATAGGCAATAATGCTAGCGGATCACCCTCTATTAATGATCTGTATATCAACAAGCAGCCTCAACCTGCTAGGAATTTTACACAGAGCTTATCCATTATGCCATCAATACCTTAATCTTCAGGGTCTCAAAAATTGGAGAAAACTTCCCTTTTATAGTAGCACACGAATATATTTGTTCGTAGCACTTGTATATTTACTGATGTCATAGTAGTCATTAAAATCTATGCTTATGGTCAAGGGACCTCCTCTAGTTTGTCTTGATTATGAATGCCTTCGACATATGACAAAATCAGCACTACCCAAGGCCCCGATGGCATCATTGTTTGACTTGCGACAATTGACCAAATGACTATTATACCTGCATTAAGCTTTCATTTTTTCCCTTCATTGTAGCATATGAATGACCCCCCGTCTGATAAGTTATGTACGACTCCTAATAAATAAAGTCCAATAAATTGCTCTTCGCACCAGCACCAAGCCACCACTCAGTTTTCACCACCCATCACTGATGGTAACCACCTAGAGATGCACAAATTATGTGAAGCCCGAAACTGGTCCTTCAACGCCTAGCTATGGCTCGTTCCAGTCCGGTCAGGTCTGGTCCGATGGTCCTATGGCAGTTACCATTTTCAAGTTATGGACGGATGCAAAAATGGCAGATTCAGGACCAGTCAAAGGACCAATTTGGAGGTATGACCTAGGAGTGTGTGCATCTCTATAAACACCTATTTTAAGATCATATTTAACAAAATAAATATACACCACTTTGATTATGGGTATCATGTGATTTGCTTATTTTGTGGTATATGACTTCTTGGATTATACATCTATTTTTTCTCATAAATTATTATTTCTTGGAGTCTCGTATTCTCTTAAAATTATTAATATTCGTTTACCTTTCTGGTCCCAAGTCTCCTTTTCTGTCTCTTCCAACTCTTTTAACAACCTTGTAATTTTTTACAAGCTAGGGGTCTTCACGGAAACAATCGCTCTACTCTTTGGTATAGAGTTGGTGAGGGTTGGGTTTAGTTTGGTTTGGTTTGGTTTGGTTTAAGGAAAATGTGGACTTCCATTCCCAACCTTTTTCAAAGTATATGTTTATATACAGTATATACTCACGCACATTTCTCACCTTTGGTGAGGTTAGACCCTTGCAGACCATTGGTGTATTGATCGAGGCCGCCTTTTTCTTACGTGCATCACATTCTATAATGCTACTGAAAGTATATAAATTTCTAGGATTCCAATCAATAATTGGAGGGTGTGTGTGAGAATGCTGAAACTACACCCCTATTGATTATGATTCTTCTCAAAAGTCTTAATATAGCTAGTATATTGAAAAGCCTTTTCTTTGGTTAAATTACTTATGCAGATTTCTGAAGAACTGTACCATCAGAGGAATAGGACTGCTTTTTGGCTTTGTTAGTAGTAACCCTCTTCCAAGAGCTGAAATTGACCAACACTGAGCAAATGTACAACTTTCAATGCATAAGGTGCAGGTCGTTATTGCATTACTGCTTCGGTTTTTAGCAACTCTAGCTCTAGCTAGCTGTATGATCCGCAACTGTTATTATATTATAGAACTTATTTTGTCCGCGTGTAGCGTGTCTGTAACTGTACGTAAGTTGGTAGTGTCTTAGAGCCAAGTCTAACTCTAGAACGTTAAAAAGTTATCGGAAACATCCCTCTTGCAAGCAGCCACCATGTATTATTGCATAAAATCTATGAAGTTAAAAGGGGGGTGTTTGGATGTGTATTTTGAAATGGTTGTAATGATCTTTTTGTTTATGGTAAATCAAATCAAATGGAACTAGTATATCTATTTTGGAAGAGGATATGTGTGATGTATGATGTATGATGTATGATGTATGATGTATGATGTGTGATGTATGATGTATGATGTATGATGTATGCATGCATGTTCTCCTTCATTTATTTTTGGCATCTCATCTTGTAAGTATTAAATATACAAAGGTGTTTATATGTGAACTATGGTTTCATGATTTTTTATAAAAATGGTCCCTGAACCAGATTAGGACTCGTATGCTATTTTGTAATGAATTGGTCCCTTCCTCTAAAGGTCATCCAGTTTCTCAATTAACTTTGAGAGCACTTTCGTTCTTTTCCATTTTTTTTGTTTTTACTCGAGGGACCAGTTTAGTAAAGCCCACACAAACCACAATGACCAAATCCGTAATTAAGTCTAAAAAATAAGAAAATATTTTTTTATACTTTGAGTTTATTAAATTAATTAATTATTATACTTAAATATATATTAATTATTATACTTTAAGTTTAATTTTAATATATAATATATTTTCTTTCCAAAAAATATATATTACGTACGTCTACATGTGCATACACGCACACATATATACGTGTATATATAGTGAGGTTCAGGAGAAAATGATATCTATCAATCTTTAGATCATATATGTATATATAGTGAGGTTCAGGAGAAAATGATATCTATCAATCATTAGATAAATTGATTCGATAAATATTATTAAATGGACATTTACAACAATATTTTTTAAATTAAAAAACTTTTGTTCCCACCTATTTTGTATCGAAAAAAGACAAAATGTAAACAAAAATCAAGCGGAATAAATTACACCAAAAAACAATCATATTTCTCACTAATTTGACATTCATATTGGTATATATTTTTCCATCCGTTTTTTCGTGGTTTTTTGGTTTTCTTTTTATTTTGTGTTGAGAGAGAGAAAGAGTTGAGTTCAGAGGAAAATGTTAAATAAATTAAAAACGAAAAATTATAAAAATAACGGATGAAAATATAAATCAATGTAGTGTAATTTATTTCGCTCGATTTTTGTTTATATTTAATTCTTTTTCGAATAAAAAATAGGAGTGCTAAAAAATTTCTTAATTTAAAAAATATTGTTATAAACGTCCACTTGATTATGATCAATACTTTATATTAGAAAACAATCAAAACTTTTATGAAATCACATATTCATCAAATTAAATAAACGGTTGAGATTGAGTTGTATTGGTTGTATAATAATTCACCTCTAAATACATAACTATTTTCGACCATCTTGATCTAACCGGAAAAATATAAAAGTACAGTGACAAAACAAAACAAAAAAAAATAGTTGAGGGACTATTTTTGTAATAAAAAAGAAAGAAGGAAGGATAACTATAAAGGCGAGAGAGGTTAGCGTAGCGTAGCAGTCATAAACACCTCTTTGCTAACTGCAGCCCCACAGAGCAAGCAAAATGTGTTGCGGAGATGGCGATTGCAGACCTCTCGGATTCCTACTCGGCCTCCCCTTCGCTTTCCTTTCCCTTCTTCTATCCATAGTCGGCGTGGTCGTCTGGATCGTCGGGTTCGTTTAATTTCTCACTCAATCTCTCTTAATTACTTGCTTAATCAATCGACTCGTTCGATCTTATACACAGAATTTTGAGCTTGATATCCGTTTAATTATTGCGAGTTTTTGTAGACGGTGAATCTCGATTTCTGATCTTGTGTTTGTTTGTGTGTGTGTGTGTGTGTGGGCGCGCGCTATGAATTGAGACAGATTGTTGTTGACATGCATATGTCCGTGCTGTTTGTGCCTTACGGTCATAGTTGAAATAGCAATTGAGTTGATCAAGGCTCCGATTCATGTTATGGAATGGTTCACTTCTCAGATTCCCTGTTGAGTTGCAATTGCGAACCCCAAAACACTGTGTGTTAGTGTGTGTGTTTTTTCGTGCATAGTAATTACACTTTTAGCATTTTGTAGATGCTTCTTTCTAGTGATTAGTATGTCGTAGTATTTCTTTTTCTCGGTTATCAAGGTTTGAAACTTTGAATCATCGTGTATGCTATTAGTAATCTCCCAGTGGTTAGTGTGTATTGGATGAACTTGTTTGTGTGGATTAATTTTTTTTTTATTAATTTGGATATAAGAATTACTGTTATAGGCTTTTATTCAAGTTATTAATTTGTTAGACTGATATGGTAAACACTTGTAAACCCATCTAATCCCCCCCCCCCCCCCNAGTATTTTTGGCGTCTTAGATGAAGGCGCCTCTTGGTTTGAGCAATTATTTACGACAAAAGCATTGATCTTGATTCCACCCTTTGTGTGTGTGTGTGTTGGTTTTTAGTAAACAACGACCTTGTGTGTTTTCTTCTATGTGTAAATATCGAATGATACAAGTTCATCTGCCAAAATTTTTGTTTTTACGTACTGAATAACCAAATAAAAACAATTAGCTAACAACCATTTATGTTTCCAAGAAACCAAAACTGGTTTTACCAATTTTTAATTTTTATAAAACATGGGGATATAAATTAAATTGTAAACACAAATCCTCATGGTTCATAGAAATTGGTATTCCACGTTTCTCTTTCATCATGGAGATGCAGATGATACACAAATGGATTGTAAGCTCTTGTGGTGTGACCATGGTGGTGGTTATGGCATGGACTTTGTTAAAGTGGGTGTGGGTGCAACCAAGGTGGCTCCAGAGGCACCTAAGGCTCCAAGGGATCAACGGCACCTCTTACAAGTTCTTTTTTGGGGATACAAAAGAGATGAAAGAAATGACTAAAGAAGCCAACAAAAACCTCATTAATATCCATGATGATATCATTCCAAGACTCTTGCCCTTTGTTTTTAGAACCAGCAAAACCTATGGTATGTGTGTGTGTGTATATATATCCCTAAAATCTATTTCATTCATTTAAGATTGATGGGTCGGACGGATTGGGTAATGGGTTGAAACGGGCTTCGGAAACGAGTGATCATTTCTATGACGGGTTGGGTCGGTAGGGTCCACTAACTGTTTCTCTTTTTTTTTGGGTTGCTAAAACTAGGGGTGTTAACGAGCTTTACTCAAAAATAATACATGGCTGAAGCTCAAATATCTTTTTCAAAGTAGTGCTAGAGCCCGAATATTTTTTTCAATGTTCGAGCTCGAAATTGATACTCGTTTAACAAATTTCCGTTATACAGTAAACCTAAAATTCAAGTTTTATAAGTTTGTTTGTGGGATCAAATAGATTCAATCGTTTATTTGTTCAAGCTCGATAATTTTTATGATGTAGTTGTATCACTTTTGAACATATGAACATTTTTTGCTCGAAAATATGTATGCTCGAATGGCTCAATTGGACTTCACTTTTTTATCGAGCTTTCGAACGAGGCAAGTCGAACATTGGGGGTATGAAACTCAACTCATTAAGTTTAAAAAAAAAAAAAAAAAAAGACTTTATTTTGTGTTTCAGCTTGAGAATTATTAAGCCCAAGCTCAAAATAAAGGAGCTAGAGCTTAAATAACCCGTAAAAACCTCGAATCGTTTAACACCCTTAACTAAAACCATTATTGAAAGATTGCTTTTTTACTGAATTGATATAGAAAGTTGTAACATTTGAATACATTTTGACTACTTGTAACTCATTCAACCATTTCCCATTTAGCCAAAAAACTCAATTTGAATAGGGACTACAAAGGGTTTTTGACTATATTTCTTGGTTTGGCTTACAATTTCTGGTTTTTGCCACAGGTAATATTTTCTTTGCATGGTATGGGCCAAAACCAATGGTTCATGTTCTTGATCCTGCTCTTGCCAAAGATATACTCTCTAGAATCAATGATTTCCAAAAACTAAGGAAAAGTAATCCCTATATCAAGATACTATCTCAAGGATTAATCGATTACGACGGAGATAAATGGTTCAAACATAGAAAGATTATCAATCCCGCATTCCACACTCGCAAGTTGAAGGTTTGTTAGTCCCATTTTTCATGAAAATACGATTGATTATGATTATATTGGCTTAATATGTTCGTTTGTTGCGCAGTATATGGTGCCCGCTATTCATGTGAGTTGTAGCGAGATGTTGGGAAAATGGCAAAAAAAGTTAGCAGCATGTGAGCGTTCGTGCGAGCTTGATGTTTTTCCGTATCTTCAAACACTTGCTAGCGATATAATCTCGCGCACCGCTTTTGGTAGTAATTATGAAGAGGGAAGACGGATATTTGATCTACAAAAAGAACTGATTTTATTGTTAATGCCAATCATACAATCCGTATATATCCCGGGTTCGAGGTAATTCACGATTTTTGAACTTCAAAAAGAACTAATGACCCTTTAGTTTATCATATGAAACAACGTTTTATACTGGGTTTATAGGAAACCAACAATTTCTAGGTCTCCCAGTATAGACAACTTTACAGGACTTAAGTTTACAGCATTCTTCTCTTAGGATGTTTTCACCTTTTTTGTATGCATATATTACATGATATTGCAAATAGAGCTTATAATTTTGTGTTTGTTCCCTAAGATTTTTGCCAACCAAAAAGAACAAAAGGGTAAAAGAGATAGACAGCCATGTGAAGGCTTCAATAAGAGGTATTATCAGTAAAAGACTAATGGCCATGGAAGATGGTGAAGGCAGCCATGATGACTTATTAGGCATATTATTGGAGTCCAACCAGCAGGAGATTGACCAACAAATGAGCATTGAAGATGTGATAGAAGAATGCAAACTCTTCTACTTTGCAGGCCAAGAAACCACCTCTACTTTGCTTGTATGGTCCATCATCTTACTAAGCCAACATCCATCTTGGCAATCACAAGCAAGAGATGAAGTTTTTCTCGTCTTCGGCCGTAAGAAACCCGATATTCATGGACTGAATCGTCTCAAAATCGTAAGCCATTTATTTCATCTCTCTCTCTCTCTATATATATATATATATATATATATATATATATATATATATATATATATATATATATATATATATATATTTGAACCTCTTTTCTCTTCTCAAGAGTTCTTTTATAAAGTAAGATGATGGGGCCCCATGATTATCACTGCGAAAACAATCTGAGTCCATTTAGACTCGTCTAACCCCTTAGCTTGTCTAATAGCAAATCCAATTTTATTTTTTCAACTACACAATTTTGTTTATTTTTTTATTAGTTTTAATAAATTACTTTATTAAAAAGATTTTACTAATTCCTTCAAGTTGATACCACTGTTATTTTATTTTTAACTTTATTTTAAATTAAAAACGTTATAAACAACAATTTATTTGGATATATGTAAAACGTAAATACATAATTCTTCATTCAAATAAACAAAAAACAAAATATAACAAGTTGATAAAATGAAACATCGAACTAAAATTATTATCTGACGGCATTATAATACCAATTAAAATAAAATCATAGCTTTTGCGACAAATTAAATCTTAGTTGGAAATTTAGAAAATTTCTTCGATTATGACCAGGTTGGTGGCGTAGCCCACATAATTTTAAGTGTTTTTAACTTAAGGGGTGTTTGGGTTGCTTATTTAAAGTGCTTATTAACGTATTCCGATGTGGTATCGGTAATAAAAAGTTTTTAGTGTTTGGATGAAGAAAAAAAGAAAATACTTATACTGGTTTGGCACTGGTAATAAGAAGTTATTGATAAGTTTTTCTCTTTTAACTTATTAAATTATTTTGGTACGGTACTGGTAATAAAGAGTTTTTAGTGTTTTGATGGGGAAAAAAATGGTATCTCATCTTTTTTATCAGCTTATTTGGTGTGGTATCGTCATAAGTTAATTCAAACATTTTTTTATAAAATTCCGGTTTGCCATATAAGTTGATAAACACTTTTAAATAGGCAAATCTCAAACACTCTTTTAATTGACGTTACAAAATTTTAAATGTTTTTAACTTGATTGGTTTTTTAACAAGTAAAATCATGTTGATTTCATCACACACAATATTTTTTTTTGTTGATTATAAATTACACGATTTTTGAACTTTTTACATCGATTTGATTTTACACAATTTTAAACATTTTGAAATGAACTGATTTTAGACATTTTAAACATTATAATTAATTTGATTTTATACATAAATAAAAATAATGAGCTATATATTTAATATAATAAAAATGTAATATAAAATAAAGGAGATGTCATTGAAAGTATTGATGGATATTCTTTATAAAATAAAATTGTTAAATATAATAAATAAATTTTATATATTTACAATAATTAAATTTATACAAAATATATAATGAGGGTATACTATAATAATTAAAAAGAAGGCAAGGGTGTAATTGAAATTTGTTATCATATTAAAAGGGGTTTAATTTAAAATAGTTGTGGAGTCTATCACCCTAGTTTTGCAAAACAAGTTAAAACTACCCTTTTTGCAACAAAACTCTAGAGTTTCGCATCAGTTATGCTTATGGGTCGTTTACCAAACGCTTACCCGAGTAAGCGCTTATCAAGTAATATTTTCTCACCAGATAAATATAGTAAAAGCAAATAATCTTATTTGGTAAGAGCGAGACAAAGATCAAAAATTTTACCTGGTAAGTGAGGGCGACGATTCTTACCACGGTAAGCGCTTACCAGGTAAATTATTGTATATTATGTCGTTTTTGTGGACTAAAATCTTGCCCGATAAGTACATAATAATGTTAAATTTTGCCCATAAGCACTTACCGGGTAAGTGTTTGATAAATGGCCCCTTAGATCATTTATTTTCCATATATGTTGGAACTTCCTTCTTTCATCAATGACTTTTTAGGAGAGTAATCAAATGGGGTTCCTTATTCTTAGGTCTCGTTTGGTTTGTCGGATTTGGAATTCAATTTCATTCTGATCTCATGTTTGGCTTGAAGGATTACTTGGTTTGAAATCCCACATACAGGGGATTTAGATATCCTCTTGGGTTATTTCACGGGATTTCATAGGATTTGTATGTAATAATATTTTAAAATATGTTAAAAACATTTGTTTTATAATAATCAATTAATAAAATAGTGATTTGATTATTTATAGTTTGTTTTTGTAAATTATTTATAAATCCTACAAGCTAAATATTTCAAATCCAAACCCCTAAAAACCATTTCATCAAACTAAACACTTCCTTATAGTTTCTTTTAACCTCTATATACGTTGGAACATCTGTTCTCTTATTGTGGGCTCTTTTAAAAAATAATAATCTGATGAGGTTTCAATATTTTCTATGCTTGTTTTATGTTTATAATGTCTTTTTTTAATTTCTTTTTGTTTGTTTTTGGTGGTAGGTTACCATGATTTTGCAGGAAGTTCTAAGGTTATATCCTGCAGTTCCAGCACTGTACCGATTGACTCATGAAAAAACCAAGTTAGGAGATATGAGTCTACCAAGTGGCACCGCAATCATGGTTCCCGTGGTGGTGTTGCACCGTGACTCGGAGATATGGGGCAGCGATGCAAACGAGTTCAAGCCCGAAAGGTTCGTTGATGGCATTTCGAAGGCAGCAAAAGTACCTTCATCATATTTTCCATTTGGTTGGGGACCTCGTATATGCATCGGCCAACATTTCGCTATGATGGAAACCAAAATAGCGTTGACTATGATTCTACAACACTTCTCTTTTGAGCTTTCGCCATCCTACGCTCATGCTCCTCGATCAGTTATTACTCTCCAACCTCAACATGGAGCTCACCTTATTATAAACCACGTTGATTGTTGAACATTTGTCTTCTATCGCCCTTTTTCAGGCTGGACGTAGGTCTACCTTCTCGTTCGAACTTTTTTCTGCATTTCTACGACTCAACTTGTGCAAATGCGTAGGCAAATATGAATAAGAAACAATGACTAGAACATAGCCTCTCTATGAGATTGACCAAGTTGGTCTTTATGTTTTGCTTATTTCTCAAGTAAAAATGTGAAGTGAATTTTATACTTTACAAAATAATATAAATTGTAATTATATCTATATTATGTTATAAAACATTTGACAAAAACTCTTAAATACTATTTTCTATGCATGAAGTACTGTTTATTGGTGCATATTACTTAAAATTTAAGATTACAAGTAAATTGTACGTAAGTACAACTTATTAAAGCTTCATGTTTGAATTCGTGTAACTAACTTCAGATAAACATAATCAAATATTGGAAAAACATTTCATTTTAAATATATAAAAAAACTAAAATATAATTAAGATTATCATCAAGTTATAATAAGATACTTAATTATTATCTTTATAAAAAATTATATTATTAAACCAAAATTAAAAAAATGAATTAAAGAAATACACAAAAAAATGAGAAATTTTAAATTGTTAGCCTGATACTAATATCAGTATTTTATTTTATTTTTTATAATATTTTCATATTTATATTTTATTCAAAAATAAAAAAACATTATCGTTTTCTCCAAACCACATAAATCCGTATTATAACATTGACTAAGACAAAAAAAAAACGAAACACTAAAACCAAAATGTATCTCGTTATATTGTGCGAGTTCCCTTCTAATATATATATATATATATATATATATATATATATATATATATATATATAATATTACAATCTATATTATTTAAAATGTTGGTCTCCATCAAAATTGGGTGGGCAATTACAAATGACTTTGTTTTCCCAATTATAAATGACTTTATAATTAAATTATTAAAATTGGATGGACAAGTAATTCTTTAAAATTCATTAATTATATTATTAGTCTTCATTTTGTATTTTAAAATCCAAAAAGATTCTAGACTTGACATCGTTAAATTAATTTTGTTAAATTGACATATATGTCCTTACTGACTTAATAGACAGTATTAAATACAAGGATATTTTTGGACTTTGAAATACAAAATAAAAACCAGTGGTGTAATTACTGAATTTACATTTTCTGTAACATATTCTTTAAAAGGCGTTTAAAAATATGTAGTTTGAAACAATTGTGAGTCAAAGGTTTTCTAAATAACAGTCTCTCCCTATATCTTTAGACATGAGCAAGGTTTATGTGTATTTTACTTCTTCCAGACCCTACTTTTGAATGAAACATACTCAATTTATTTTGTAATAGTTTTTATGTAATTTCAAAATGTATATTAAACAGTCATTCAAATGTAAGGTGATCGAAACTTACATATTTGTAGGAACATGTTTCTAAAAATAGTTTGTGTTTAGACCATGATTCCATGGGATTATCATAAATAACCACATGTGGTATGTGCTTGCGGTATTACAAGTTGCCATTTTTATCTGGATGTATAAGAAAATATCAAAAACTGTAAGAAAAAGTGTCTTACGATATTGACTTGCGGTTTCTAGCTATTTTGTAAAAGAATAAAGGGCATTATGATTAGTATTATATATATATATATATATATATATATATATAGAGAGAGAGAGAGAGAGAGAGAGAGAGAGAGGTAGAGAGAAAGGTTCAAACAAGAACACCTTCATTTTACGAGAACGCAAGAACACCATTTTACTATAGACAATTACATGTGATACTATTATCCCATCACATGTGATATTAAATCAGAGACGCAGACGATTTTCGATGCAATCTTATTTACGGGCTAAGTCGCCCTTACACCACTAAGCCCACTCACAAGTATTATCATATGTGATAAGATTGTTGTTGATATGATACTATAATCCATCAAGACCATCACATGTTATGCTAAATCATAGACGCAGACAACCTTTTGGCGCGGCCTAAGTCGTAGAACACGTCGTCTGCACATCACAGGATCCCCTCACGCATATTATCACATGTGATAAGAGTGTACTCGCGTTCTCATAAAATGGAGGCATTCTCGTTTGAACCTCCATCTATCTATATATATATATATATACACACACACACATATATACATACATGTAATTATTAAGTTTTTGTAATAAAATTAAGAAAATGAGTAAAAAGATAAAATTGTCCCTCCCTCTAAGAGAGAAAATAAACGGATTTAATGACTAGGGACCACTTTCAAAGCACAAGGATGTTTTTTAGACTTATCAAAGTTCAGGTCTCACTTTCAGACTTTTAACTGAACCTCATAAACCAAGATTAGAGTTTACTTTTTCTTCTTTTTCTAAATATGATTATTGGTTAAAAAACGTGACACCAACTAAAGAAATTAAAAAAACAAAAATGGTCATCTTCACGACCTGTTTGATCAATCGTTTGGTGCTACATGTCTTGCAAGAAGCAACAAATAGAAGCCAGTGCCACTAATAAGCCCGAGCTTCTAACTAGTCGGAGTTGATGCTGCTCTTACAGTAACAAAAACAAAACAATGTCAATTAACTGTGTCCTTACCTACAGGGGAGATAAATTGAGTAAAGGCAAACCCTCGTTCTTTAGCTGTTATTGGTTGATTAAATAAAACTTATTTTTATTAATCAGGCTTTAAATGGATTAAAAATACAAAAATAATTCTAAAATTCCTAATTTTTAATTTATTATAAATAAAGTCTGATATTCACGTATTTTCATATACAATCTAATTTCTTTATTTTGGATACTATTAATTTCATTCCAATTCATTTCAGATTCCAATTCCTTTGTCATATTCCGTTACTTCATAAATTATTCTGCGAACCAAACGCCCCCTTAATAATTCTCTATAGATATTATTTTATCAACTTAAATGGAATAAAAACTATTTCTAGTTAAAAATATTAAATAAATGTATTTTATATTTTTACGATTGAGGGGTTGCTTAATTGATTTTCTATTAAGTTTTGTATGAGTGCGTTTGATATACTGGACATGACAAAATAAAAACTAACAGAAGAAAGATTATTGTTTCATGTTTGCCATAACTTTTATGTGAAACAAACAGAAATAAAACGGAACAACGTGAAACTTTTGAACAGGCGTGTTTCACCCCCCATCCATGGAATAAGGTGAAATAAGCCTATATTTTATCAATATAACCTCAAAATAAAACCTTAAATATTTTAAAACATCAAATATATTCATTTTGTAAATTTTATTTATTGTGTTTTATGCTACTTAAACCTTCATTTTACTGTCCTCAAATATTATTTTTTGTACATTTTCTATATTTTGGTTAATGTATGTAATTTATTAAATGCTAATAATAATAATTAAATAATATATAAAATGTATAAAATAAAATTTTGAAACTACATAAACTTTTTATTTTTGTGTTATTTTAATCGTCTTGACGAAAACTTTTTAACAATATATCTTGTTATGAAAAAAAATATTTATTTTATTATAATTTAATAAACTGCATAAATCAATCAAAATGTATAAGGGATATGAACAATTCATTATGAGTAAATTGATCATTTTATCTGTTCTGTTATATCTAATTTCGTCTAACCAAACACCGAACAACTGTCCTGTCTTATTATGTTCTTTCATGCCAATCTGGATACCAAACGCACCCGTAGTAAATAAAGATGTTTGTATATATTAATTTGTCTGTATACTTGGAAAAATTATTTCATATATGGAAAGAACGTGTTTTTAAATTGAGATGGGCAATTTTGGAATTTTTTTTGACTTTTTACATAAAATTTCTCTTTTAAAGCTTACCGAATAATCAACTTTTCTATATTGTTAAAACACTATCAAATAGTTATGTATAATTGACCAATAAAAACTGTGAATCTCATTAAACTTCTAAAAACCAAGCCCTAAGTTGAGTCGAGTGATTTAGAAAAAAAAATAGTTAAGTCAAAGATAGAAAGTTAGAGCATCTCTAATAACTATGTTATTTTAGAAATTTGCAAGGCTTTAAGAAAAATTTGCTTTAACATTATGTTAAACTCTTATCTAAGGGGTTGTTTGTTTACCTCTTAATAGTTCCATTAAAAGACAACATCTGAATCGTTAAGAGGTGAATCTTTTTTGGCAAAAAAAAGTCCGTCTCTTAATGGTTCTAAAACTCTCTGAATGATTTTGTATAATGGATCTCCCTTAACTATTGGGAGCCCTAATTTCATTGTACACAATTATCAAATAATTATATTTTATTTTACACTATATCAAGAGAGTCTCTTAATCATTCTAGGCACTTAATCATTCAATAATTGTCAAACAGCCCCTAAAATAAAATAAAAATAAAAAATCTATAGATTTAAAAGAAAAAAAAACATAACATATATATTGAAGTTAAGGAGAGAAAATAATTTTTAAATAAAAAATTAAATTGGTGGTTGGTGAGAAACGTAGCCGACTAATTCGTAGGGTTCTAAGTTCAACGGTAAACATTTAAATATTCATTTTTCAATAATAAATATTAAAATATGAATTTAAATAAAGAAATTTTTGTTTTTTTCGGGGACGTGTGTCGTTTTTTGTAAGTTTAAGGCAGGAGTAAAACGCCCCCTCGCGCACGTTAGGGACCAGCGGCATACAGATAGCAGGGATATAAATACAGGAGTGCCGTGCTCTCACTTCACTTCCCTCTCTCTTACCACATCATCACTGCGATACTTTCCGCTACTTGGTCACTCATGGCGGCGGCGATGACGACAACCACATTCTCCTCCGTGGCATCTACCAAATCCTCCTCATCGCCGTTGATGTCTCTCAAAACGCCACCAAAAACCCTAGGCTTTAGTGTAGGGTTTATTTCTTCCAAAACTTCCTTCAAATCCCTCCAAACTCGTGTGTTTTCTTCCAATGGTGGTTCTGGTTCTGCTATGGGAGCTCGTATGGTTTCAGCGCCAGCGATTATCAAGTCACCGGATTTGCTCGATTTCGACACCTCTGTTTTCAAAAAGGAGAAGATTAACCTTGCTGGTTATGACGAGGTTCGTTTCATCACTGTTTGTGTATGTATGTATGGACTCGTATCGTTTGTGTATATCTAACTTATGTGCTTAATTCGTTTTGATGTTTTTGTAGTACATTGTGAGAGGAGGAAGAGATTTGTTTCATTTGTTGCCTGATGCCTTTAAAGGTATTAAGCAGATCGGTGTTATCGGTTGGGGTTCTCAGGTATGCGATTTCGTTCTTTGATTTTGTAGATTTCATTTGTTATTGTTGTTTACGGGTAGGGTTTATTATGTATAGGAAAGATTGAAATGTCACTATTTTCTGCGTTAAGTAAGACATGAACCAAAAAAAACATTGAAAATTTCAAAGAAGTTTTTCAAGGTTCCCTGTTTGTGATAAATGATAATATATCAGATTGTGCTACTTTATGGAGGTTTGGTATGTAATTATGATGGTTGCCAAAAATTGGATCATGAAGTGAACACGTACATGGTGTTGGAAGTATTACTTTCGTTGGTAGACTGGATTTATTGGTTTAAATTAGAGAAAGGTGTTTTAATTACTTTAAGACCCTACGTGGTATAATGGTTTAGCTATTTGAAGGTCATAGGTTTAAGTAAAAAAAAGGTGTTTTGGATGACTTTAAACCCAATATTGCACTGGAGTATATGCAAGAAAACAGACCTTCGTACTTTTTTGATTACCTTGATTGGGTTTACTGTGGGTATAGTTATACATTGGATTCGACGTAGGTTGGAAAACTACTCGACCAGTACTTTTTTAAGGTATCTTATATCGAATTGCCTGAGTTCACCTTAATACCGAAAGTTCAGGCCAAGCGCCCTAGCCAGGTTCACCTGTCTGTTTAATGTGGTCTGCAACTGGCCTTAAAACTTTTATGATAAGTAATGCCTTTGATTTGCTTTGCCACTAAACTGAACTTGTTTACATAAGGCCCTACATGAGGTTAGTTAGTAACCTTATGTTCTTGGGTACTCCTCTAATTATAATGAGCACATGGTCTGCCAAAGATGTCAACAATCTGAGAAGTCGATTATGTGGTATCAAATATAGTGGTTGCTAATGGCTTGCTTGCTTAAGAAACTTGTTATATACTTTCTTCACCTGATATGTAATGAATGTTTGTTTTTTAGAATTCTTTGCTTTTAGATGCTTCTCTTCTGATAATCACTCACGGTCTGTGTCCAGGGTCCTGCTCAAGCTCAGAATCTAAGGGATTCTCTAGCAGAAGCAAAATCTGATATTGTAGTGAAGGTGTGCATTTTTCTTCGTGCAATGATAATAGCAACTTGTATGCATTCTGCTGACGACTCTAGCTTTCTGCCTTATAAAACAGATTGGCTTAAGAAAGGGTTCTAGTTCATTTGCTGAGGCACGTGCTGCTGGTTTTACTGAAGAAAATGGGACTCTTGGAGATATTTACACCACTATTTCGGGTAGTGACTTGGTCCTGCTCTTGATATCTGATTCAGCTCAGGTTGGTCGAATGTTCTGAACTCAACCAATGCTCTTCTACTATAAATCCATGTTTTCTTACTTTGTTATAGTTAGGAACGAGCTCACCTTTTGGAACCCTTTACTGTTTCCATTTTTTGCTTTTTATCAAATGCTCAAAGATACCAATAAATCTCCATGAGTTGAGTTTTGAAAGGAAGAGAGTATATTTTTTATGGTGTCATGGGTGTATTATGCCCTACTCTCTCAAATAACATATACTCTTGCCTCTGAATAATACTTATTCAGCCTGAGAGGTTTTATATAAATTTAATGCCTCCAGGGGCCCAGGCCATCAAAGAACCCCATGAGGGAGAGGGTACTGCTAAGAAGTGATAGAATGTTGTTTAGGCAAAGGAAAAAATTCTTGCTAATTATGTTCTACCGTTATCCTTGCAAATTCTCTAAAGATTCAAAAATGATCCAATGCACGCATTGTCGGTTTTGAGATCTTGCAGGATACTCCCGGTATGTAAATGATGGTCCTTTTTTCTTCTTGAAACAGCAACAAACCGATATTCTTTTTGTTGTTGCTAAATTTGAAGTCACAATCAGTTGTACATTATGTAGTGTCTACATATATGATAATTACCAGTTACATTTTACAAATCTCAGTTGTTTTATGAGGCCTTTGTTAGTTTTTTTTTTAAAGCATTTTCTTGGAAGATGTTTCATTTTTGTAAAATTGTGTATGCCCATTTGAAATTTTTGTAAGTCTTTTTTATTTTCAATAAAGTCTTTCGGGGGGGTTCCGTCCCCTTCTCCAAAAATAAAATAAAATAAAATAATCTATGTAGTTGTGTGTATTGCAATATTGCATATATCTAGTCTTTACATGTTTAACTCTTCCCAAGTTACCCAAGTTACCCAAGTTACCTTTGGCTCAATGGTATAAGTGGATCTCTACAACCTTGGGATGTGAGTTTAGTCATTGTGAAGAAACCAGTGTATCAATATGTTAACCTCTAAAAAATTGTTCCTGATGTATTTTTTTTATTGCAGGCTGATAACTATGAGAAAATCTTCTCACACATGAAGCCTAACAGCATACTTGGACTTTCCCATGGWTTYCTTCTYGGWCAYYTGCAATCARYYGGYCTTGATTTCCCCAAGAATRTMAGCGTGGTTGCTGTRTGTCCCAAAGGAATGGGTCCATCWGTKAGGAGGCTGTAYGTCCAAGGAAAGGAGATCAATGGAGCTGGGATCAACGCAAGCTTTGCTGTCCATCAGGTTGGTTCAGCAGGCATATGGTTCCTTGGTGTAATCTTTTCTTAGGTATCAACTATTATTAAAAAATCTGTTGCAGGATGTTGATGGCAGAGCCACTGATGTTGCACTTGGATGGTCAGTTGCTCTTGGTTCACCGTTTACATTTGCAACTACACTAGAGCAGGAGTACAAGAGCGATATATTTGGGGAACGAGGTAAGCTTTTGACTCTTTAAGATAATCAGATATTACAAAATATATGGCACAAGCCGGGGGTCTTCATGGAAACCTTCACTTTACCCGTTGGGGGTAGAGGTCAGGACTGCTTACATTCCACCCCTCCCAGACCCTGCTTTGTAGCGGGATATACAGGTTTTGTTTGATTTGGTAATCAAATATCACTAATGCTTTTTCCCATGGTGAACGTTAGGTATTTTACTTGGTGCTGTACATGGTATTGTGGAGTCGTTGTTTAGAAGATACACAGAAAATGGCATGAGTGAAGACTTGGCTTACAAGAATACAGTAGAGTGCATCACTGGGGTAATATCACGCACGATATCAACTAAGGTTTGCTCCCAACTTGGTTCCAAGCTGTTTACTGGTTTGTTTACTTGTATACCCCCTATCTGTTTGTGGAAGAGATGACTATCCTCATTGCTGCTATTTTGTACTTGGACTTGGTTCAAACTTGTCCAATGGACTATTTGTGTGTGTTTGGTATGTGGAAAATGACAGGACATAACATGACAGAACAAAACTTGTTGTCTCAAGTTTGGCACAAAATTAGACCGAGGTAGAACGGGACCGACAAAATAGGTGGAACAAAATTAAGAAGATGGGATAAGATTGGTAAATTACTTAACCACCCATGTCAAAATAAAACCTGCCATCCTCACTCTTGTCCATCCAATCCTGTACTGTCCAATCCATTGTACCAAAAGCACTATATGATTATGCCTAGGGTTGTACATTCTTTTTAAAAAAATTGTTGTAACAGGGCATGAAGGCGGTGTATGAGTCGCTGTCAGAAGAAGGCAAGAAAGATTTCTTGAGGGCATACAGCGCTTCCTATTATCCCTGCATGGACATCTTGTATGAGTGCTACGAGGATGTAGCCAGCGGCAGCGAGATTCGGAGTGTTGTTTTGGCTGGTCGTCGCTTTTATGTAAGTTTTCTGAACTTGGTTCTCATTAATTCACTCTATGATGTTTTTCGTTTGGACTAGAGGATGTTTTTATTAGTTCCTGATGGATCTTTGTGATGCACATATGAATATGATGATGATCGATTATAACTCAGGAAAAAGAGGGTTTGCCAGCCTTCCCAATGGGCAAAATTGATCAGACTCGGATGTGGAAAGTTGGTGAACGTGTTCGTTCTAACCGTCCAGCTGGCGATTTAGGGCCATTATATCCTTTCACCGCAGGTGTCTATGTGGCATTAATGATGGCCCAGGTGAGCCTGCTTTCATGACTTGTTTACTCGAATAGATTTGCATGTTTCTAAAATATTGATTTTCATGAACTATAGATCGAGGTATTGAGGAAGAAAGGACACTCTTATTCTGAAATCATCAACGAAAGTTTGATCGAATCTGTTGATTCCTTGAATCCGTTCATGCACGCTCGAGGTGTTTCTTTCATGGTGGACAACTGTTCGACGACCGCAAGATTGGGATCAAGGAAATGGGCTCCACGTTTCGACTACGTGCTCACCCAACAGGCTTTGGTTGCCGTAGACAATGACACCCCAATCAACCAGGACCTTGTCGCAAACTTCTTTGAAGATCCCGTGCACGAAGCAGTCAAAGTGTGTGCAGAGTTGAGACCGACTGTCGATATCTCGGTGCCTGCAGACGCTGACTTTGTGAGACCCGAGCTGCGTCAATCGAGCAACTAAAAAGCCATGAATGAGGTCAGACCTAGGCCTATCATAGTGTTGCTATTTTACGTATAATGTACTTGTTATCGATGTGATATCACCGTTTTGTCGGATTTTGTAATTCTGGAATAATGCAAGTTTCCGGTGGTCTATTATGAGCAACAAGGATCTATCATATTAGAATAAGAAGATTTATCGGATGTGAACACGGGTCGCACCAAACTGGCTCTTTATGACAAACGATCTCAACCGATCATTTGGTAAGATCACGTTGATAGACGCTGGCTTTAACCATTTGATCCGGTGTAGTCATAGTTTTTTGGGTTTCTCTTGTTTGATCTTTTACCTTCTTGTAATGTTTTTTTGTATTCCCTAGTTTAAAAAATAAAACACAAGAATACTGGAACCATTATACATACAAATACATGTTTGCAGTTGGAACCGTTATACATAAAAATACATGTATGTATAATATTTATATACAACAAATGTAACAAATAAACTCACACCCTCCTCACCTTTGGTGAGGTTTGAACTCTTGACCCCCTAGAAGGATAAAGACTCACATACCGCAGGCCAAAAGCCCTTTGACGAGGCTTCTGGACTACTTTGTAGTTCAATTTGGCCTGTGTCTTTACTAATGCTCTAGCTTCCTTAGATGCCTTAAATGCATTCACATAGTATTGTTTTTGTGGGACAAGTTCAATCTAGTTTTTTTTCTATTGTTTTTTAGAGTGGTTTTTGTGAGACTGTCTATCCATTTTATTGATAAGGACATGTACCATTTGCAATAACTCGAAGGACAATGGAAATAAAGAACATACAAATGTAAATAAATAAATAAATATATATATATATATATATATATATATATATATATGTGTGTGTGTGTGTGCGCGCACGTGAGTTATCTACTTTGTTACTTGTTATACTGGTTGAGTACACAAAAAATGATCTTGGCATAACTGTAATAGTCTATATTTCATATGTTTTTGCATAGATATAAGCTAGTAGCGTGTTTATCTGCTTTAAAATTGGAATAATTTTATAGACATAAACTATTATATTTCATATTATATCAGATATCAAGACGATAAACGTTGAAACAAGTTTTGCTAGTATGTGATGCATTCTTAGTGGAGGGAACACCAAACACAATTTTGCCCGTACAATGGTTTTGGAATCAAATTTTTCATCGAGTGACAAGATTCTAAATGATCAAAGGTCACGTTTGTCGGAAGGATCAATGGAGATGTATGTATGTTTAAAAGACTGCTACGATAGCAAGAAGAAAATTCAAGATAAAGAATCATTAGACGATGATTTCGTTGAAATCCAAGATAACATGTAAGAAAGAAACACATTTACAACTTTAAATACCACTATCAGTGAGAAGATGAATATGACGAAACCCAAAAATGGGGAAGATCGAAGAAATCAAAAAGAAGAAGATTAAAAACGATTCCAAGCAATAGAGATAGTAAAGCTAGAAAGACCAATTTACCCTCATAGTTAACGGGTTGGATTGCCATTGGTTTAAAGGACCAAATTCACTAAAAACCACATAGATAGAGGGTTCTTTTTGTAATAAATGAAAATAAATCACATACCGGCTAAAGAATCAAATCTATAATCTATACTATATTATAAAGCATTTGATAAAAACTCTTAAAAACCACTTTTTATGTATAAAGTACTGTTTATTAATACATGTTACTTACAACTCAATATTACAAGTACATTATGCGTAAGTACAACTTATTAAAGCTCCATAGCTAAATTCGTGTAACTAACTGCAGATAAACATAATCAAATACAGGATAAACATATCATTTTAAATATAAATAATCTAAAATATAATTAGGATAATCATTGAGTTATAACAAATAATTAATTATTATCTTTATAAAATGTTATATTATTAAACCAAA